GTGAGAGAGAGAGAAATGTCGTGAGAGAGAGAGAAAGGTCGTTCAGAGAGAGAGAGAGAGAGAGAGAGAGAGAGAGAGAGAGAGAGAGAGAGAGAGAGAAAGAGAGAGAGAGAAATCTTCTTCTTCTTCTTCTTCTTCTTCTTCCTCCTATGCTGCGCGGGTGGCTGTGGAGCGCGCCGCCATTGGCCAGCGCCGGCCCGACGGCCGTCGCCATCGCCGCGCGCGGCCTTTTTCCGCGCGGCGGCCGTTTTAGTGCCCGGCCGCGGCCGAACACGGACGATCACGGTCGAACGGGGCCGATCGAGGCCGAACACGGTCGTCACAGCTCGCGGCTGTGCGGGGGGCCGACCGACCAGGGGCCACGGAGAGCACGGGCATCGACGACATCAGGGGGACGCGGCGGTGGCGGCAGCGTGGACGTCAGGGACTGCATCGACGGTACGGCACGGTCCGACGACATCGACGGTCATCACGACGGCTTGTTGGATTCGAGTGGGGGGACGATGACGGGGGGTGCAGGGACCAGCGGTGCGGGGGGGTCCGGGGGAGCCCAGTTCATCCCGCTGTCCGAGAGGGAGATGGCGAAGTTGAGGCAGGGGAACTTGGTTTGGAGCTTCGTCGCCGCGGGGGCAGTAGTTCGGGGACCAGTCGAAGATGCATGGGGACCGAAAGTTGCGTTGCAACTTATGCGGCCACTTGTTTCAGGGGGGGTCGTCGAAGGCCGAGCGCCATTTCACGCAGTCGAAGTACTGCAAGGCTGGGGGGATGAGAGTTCTCGCGGAACTCTGGAACGGCACGGACTACACATTCGTGCCGTCCACTGCTCAGCAGGTGCAAAGGTGGATGGCGGACAAGGGGATACGGGATACGGGAGCGCCCGCGGGTGGCCAGCAACAGCGGATGGACGACGCAGAGAGGGATGAGATTCAGGACACCCTCGATGAGGAGGAGGGCCGTGAGGGTGGGATCGGGGAGGGGGGGGTGGCAGACGAGGCAGACGAGGCAGTCAAACATCCTGACCTGCCAAGGGAGGAGGTGGTGATGACGTCGAGAGGCGTCGGTCGAGCGGGTCCCGCTCCTAGGTCGTCGCGACCTGAGTTGGAGTGCGCGAGGAGGGAGAAGAGGACAGTGGGGGAGGCAGACGTCGAGGTGCGAGACACGGGCAGGGAGAAGATGGCTCGGCAGACAACGATTCAGGAAATGTACGACAAGGAGAAGTTGGTCGAGTTCACAAACGCGTGGCTGCAATGGATCTACGCGAAGGGGTTGCCATTCAACGCCTTCCGTGGTCCGGAGTTCCAGAGGGTGCGGCAGGTGGCAGAGAGAGTGCCTCGCACTATCCAGTTCCGGTTTCCCTCCTACAGGGTTACAGCGGGCGCCGGGATCCCTTCGCAGAGGGCGAAGGTGGCGACGATGGTGAGCGAGGTGCGCGCCGCTTTCCGGCACACTGGTGCCACCATCCTCTCCGACTGGAGGAAGTCGCACAGCAGCAAGCCGCTCGTGAACTTCCTCGCCGGGGGCGCCAACGGCACCCTGCTATACTCCACTGTTGCACGCAACGGGTCGGTCCGAGATACAGCGGACATCGTGTACTGTAGGTGGCGGCCCATCATCTTGTCCTTTCCTGCAAAGGACGTGATCAGCTTCTGCACAGACTCCGCCAGTAACTATACGGCGACAACGCGCAGATTCGCCATGGACCCCGAGCCCGACATTAGGAGGATCACTTGGATCCCCTGCTCCACCCATGTCTACAACTTGATGTTGTCAGATATCGGGACGCGAGTGGGGTGGGTCAAGGATACCATCATCCGCGCTCGAGCGCTTGTGCGATTTATTAAATCGCACGGCGCTGGTCACGCCCTGTTTAGGAAGGTGAGCCCTCGCGTTCAGCTCGTCGAGCCCGTCGAGACACAGTTCGCATCGGTTTTCCTGATGCTGACGTGTCTCAAAGGCCGACGAGATGCGTTGGAGAGCATGTTGCACAGGGATGCTTGGGCACGCATCTCGTGGGAGCGCAGGCTTGTATCGCAGGCGCAGTGGGAGCAGCAGCAGATCCGGGACGGGGAGTTTTGGAGGTGTGTCCAGTATGCCATCCTTGTCATGGCGCCCGTCCACCAGCCGTTGCGCAGGGTGGATAGGGGGGGGATGATGATGTCCGTCGTTTACGAGTGGAGTCAGCATGTGCTGCGGTTGATGAGGACGGTCGATGTGCCGGCGGACATGATCGAGCCGTGCGTGCATGAGGTTGCCATCTGCAACCTCCACATGCTAGAGCCCTCACATGCCACGGCCCACCTCCTCAACCCTCGTCGACGGTCCCTCACGTATTACAAGTCGTTATAAACGACCGCCGCCGACGCCCGTGTGGTCAAGGAGTGCGACGAATTTCTCCTGGCGCAGACCGGCGGCGATTCGGTCAGCAGCCTGTACAGGGCGGTGGGGTCCAGATGAGGCACTTCCACTCGAGGCGAGGAGATTGGGGAGATTGGTCCCGCTCTGATGCCGAGGCGGACGATTGCAGGGGGGACCGCGAGACCGAGCGATGTGCGGCGTGGTGGTTTGACCATTGACGTGCCCACTCGGAGTTGCGTACCATCGCCATCCGTGTCATGCACTTGTGGACGTCTGCCTCTCCAGGGGAGAGGAAATGGGCGCAGCACGAGCGCATCAACACGGCGAGGCGCGTCAAGCTTAGGTTTGCCAAGCTTGCACAGCTGGTTGAGATTGCCACCAATCTCAAACTGGCCTCGTGCGCACGACAGGGTGGTGGGTACGTGTTGCCATGGGTTATGGGGACTGGTCGGGAGGGGACGGCTGCAGAGGACGAGGATGAGGAGGGAAACGTGGAGCCCGAGGTGTGGGGAGCGCGACCTGATGGCAGTGTTCCTGACCAGGACATCCAGCGACAGATTGTCGCTTTCCATCACAACCGACCGTCCAGAGCCCATTCGGTTCAGGATGTGTTCGGCAAGAGGGCGACGGAGCTGCAACCGTGGCCGGACGGCGGGGATGATGTGGATGCTGATGCGTGAGACGACGACATCGACGACGACTGGACAGACGATGATGACGCGCCGCTGAGTGTCGACGCGACTGCTGAGCGGGTGTACTTCACTTACGGTGGGGGACATGACGGCATGGCTTCGTTCACATCAGTTATCACTGGTGGTGTACCGTCGACCGGACAGGCGAGTGGCAGCAGCAGAGCCGGCGGTCGTCGTGGAGGACGTTCGCACGCGGAGGTTGGCGTCGACGGCTCGGGGGAGCAGGAGCCACGGGGAGGCCTTCGGCAGGCAGGCAGGCGTTGCGAGGTTAGGAGCGACAGCGAGGCGGACGGGGAGGCCGAGGATGAGGAGGTGCCCCTTCGCGATCGTCGCTTCTCTCCCTCCCATCATCCGATCTCTGCACAGCCCGAGGCACTTAGGCGTTCGGAGAGGTTGGAGTCGACACCAGGCAGAGACCGGACACATGACGGCGAGGATCGTGGGGGGGAGAGGACTTCTTCCGACGTAGGTATGCGCCCCTGCTTGCCGTCCGAGCTCCACACACACGACTTTGACGTCGGAGGACTTGGTGGGGGCTTGGGAGATTTCAGTGTCGAGGGACGTCGACGTGCCTCCCCGTCGGAGGTGCGCACCGACAAGGACGTTGTGCGGGGCCGTGTTGAGACTGAGGAGGAGCGGCATGCCCGTTTGGACCGAGAGGAGGAGGAGCGGCTGCGGAGTTTGCCACGATGGGAGGGTCGGTCCCCGTATCTCGAGGAGCAGCGTCGGCAGAGGGAGTTGGAGACAGGAGGGGGGTGAGGTCGTGACGCCGACGACTCGGGTGTCCCTGAGGAGGCAGTTCAGGGGGAGTTCGTTGATGAGGGACAGGATGCTGCCGCGGGTGGTGGGTCAGGTGGTGGACGACGCAGCGACGGGGAGACCGCGGTTGATGAGGACCAGGATGTTGCCGTGGGAGGTGGGTCCCCTCGTGGAGGACGTGGCGACGGCGAGACCGCGGGTGATGAGGGACAGGGTGCAGCCGTGTGTGGCAGGGGAGAGGGTGGACCCGGTGGAGATGGGGATGCCGTGGGTGTTGGGGGAGACGATGGACCAGACGAAGATGATGACGACACCCACGGTCCTGAGGATGATGCGTATAGGCTCGCCTTGATGTTGAGGGACCCCACAGTACCTCCCTTGCGCCCTGACGACTTAGCGCACACTTTCTTCGACATCGACGCTTTGGCGCAAGTGTTGACGGCTGACCCTTTCGCACACACGGGCCGCGTGAGCGGCAAGAGGTGGGCCCCTGGAAGGCAATATTCACCGCCGCCGTTCGTGGTGCAGAGCCCTCGATGGTCGGGTTCGTCGCTCAGCGGCGTGAGAGGGAGGGAGTCCGGAGCGGGTGAGGTGGGGTCCGGCGTGAGAGGGAGGGAGTCCGGAGCGGGTGAGGTGGGGTACGACAGACGCTGCAAGGGCGGCAGAGACAGTGCAGGATCGATGCCTCCACCGCCCGCACGGGCTCTGGAGGCTGGCGTCGACGTCGAGGTCGAGACGGCGGCACCCGGAGTTGCGCACAGTGGCGGTTCCCCGCCGACAGTCAGAGGTGGTGTGGGTGGCAGATGGTCAGTTGTTCATCGGGTCGGGGACCGGTTGCGGGAGGATTACGACGCCGAGAGAGGCGTCTTCGAGGGACGTATGACAGTTCAGACGCAGGCTGCGGAGGGTGGGTCCGGACGTCCGAGCCTGCAGATGGCAGGCCGCATGCTCGGTTTGTCACGAGCGACGACGAGGAGATCATTGGTCCTCGTGGCCGCAGGGACATCCACGGACATGCTGCAGGGACATCAGTACACATCAGGCGGGGAGGGGTTGTTGATGCGTCCCAGGACGAGACGACAGCGCGGCCTCACGGAGGTTGAGGCTCGACTCGCGGCAGAGGTCGCCACTGGCCAGGCAGCATTGGACGCGATTCAGAGGGAGAGAGAGAGGGGGATTGCTGCACGGGCGGCGGAGGACGAGGACGCAGACACAGAGTCCGAGCCGATCGAGACTGCGGCCCGCAGACACAAGGCACAGGTGGCCGCGGCAGTCGCTGCAGTACAGGAGGCATACATCAGCGGGGCACAAAGCACAGGTGCCGGAGGGAGAGGAGGGCGTCGGGGAGGACCACATGGCCGCTCGTCCTCCGGGAGAGGCCGCGCGCGCTCTGGAGGGAGATGACGACGTCTGTGGGTTTTTTTTTTTTTCATTAGTTGTTTTTTTTTGCGTGGCTGGACGCTCTGTCCGCAGGGTTGTTCCATATTTATGTCGATGTTGTTCCATGGAGACGACGACAGTATGTGGACATTAGGATTTCTTTTTATTTTTTCTTTTTTTTCCTACTCGGTTGTACGGTAGAGACGACGGGTCCAGTTTTTGGCTTCGGCCTTGTACATATGCATTTCCATTGAAATGCTTTGTCATATATTTGCTCTTGTTCGTGTTCCTCTCCCAACCTTGGTTTTGCATCTGAGTCGCTGTTGTTTGGTGAGTGGTTTCTGGTTTGTTGTCGTGATTGTTGCAAATTATGTGCTTCTCCGATGCCACGCACCTGCATGTCAAGGATGCCTCCATTATGAATGTGCTGTTAATTTCGGATGCCAAATAGGGATGATGTGCTAATGAATGTGTTTTTACACAAACTTCCACAAGTCTGATGAGTGAACACACACTATGACACACTTGCCTGTTAACATTGTTTGAAACTTATGGTTGGCCGGCAATGGCCGCATTGTGATTGATTGTGAATGTGTTGTGACTTTGGTATGCCAACCAGGGTCTGACCTACGATTGTCATGAATGTGTTGTTTCAAAATATGTCACGAACTGTCATCACCCTCACGAATGAAATCGACGCCTGCCTGAGGCCCTGATCTGCCTGGGGTCTGCCATCTGCAGCCCCGCCCAGCTTCGACCCGACCTGGCCCCACGGGCCGCCCCAACCAGGCCCTCATCCAACCCCCGTTGGGCCGCCCCCGCAGGGGTCAAATATTTTTATTTTATTTTTCTAGTGTTCCAGACCCTCTTCCCTGCGACCCCGCATCGACGAACCGCACGCGTGGGACGCACGATTTTTCGCGGCCCACCTCTCCAGGGCCATGTGCAGGACCCCCCCTTTTTTCATTTTTTTGACGCTCTGCCACTTTGAGGGGGTGCCCCCCCACCCCCCCACCTCAAACCCGCTCCCCGCTTCGGAAACTGCCCCACAGATCGGCCAAGGCCGAGGCCGAAAAAACTCGGTCGGCCCAGCCGCGGCCGGAGGGGTCCCGGTCTAGGCCGAACCCGGCCGCGGCCAGCGTGCAACATAGCCTGGCTGGTGCTAAACCACAATCATCATGGCCAACCTCGTACTTGAGAGGCACAACAAAAGGGGAGTTGCAATAACAAATAAAAGGGGTACCCCAAAGAAAGTCAAAGTAAAGAGAGTTGGAAAAGGGATATAATGGATCTGTTGCGCCCCATGTTGTTTGGTATAGAGGTAAAACTGATTCATTGTTAGATTGGTTCAATCTCTGCGTGCTTCATTGTCGGGAAAAGAGGTAAAGCCGCATTGATTTTGGATGTAATCATCAGGCCAGAGCATAGGTTGTTGTGGTGAAAATCTAAGCCACACACAGGCTGCTTATGAAGCACATGACTATGCTTTGACATTTATTCAAGGCCAATGCAAACGTAAACGATTGTTGGAAGTCCTCACGACGGGGAGCGGGTTACTTCACATAGCTCGGACAACCTTTCAGTGTCGGAAATATAACAACATCTCCGGTTTGTGGCCTCTAATACTTACCTATACAACGGAGAACACTCTACCCCATCAGGTGGCTAGTATCTGTGTGGGCAGTAACGCTAGACAAGAAATTGCCAATCTCATGCCCTATTGGAATGAACTACAGTTCATTGATGACCTTCATCAACGAAAACATCTCCACCCCTTCCTGCTTGGGTATGGTCTTGAGTGGAAAGACATAATGGAGCAGGATCTGCCATGTCGCTTCCTCAGGGCAATAATATTGGTTTGGCCTAACGACTCCCTTCACATTATTGTGTTTGATAAGGTCGAAACTTGGACTTTCTCTGTTGTACGTTATCCGAGTGCTGCCTCCAAAGCCTCAGCTTATCAGCCCGCGGGTGTGCTCACGGGACAACTGATAAGACTTGAACATATATGTATAACTGACAAGGTTCAAACATATCTATAACAACACCATCAATTTCAAAGTAGAAGTGATCTCCTTGACAAAATGTATGCTTGCTAGAGGCCATCCTTGTAGTGTCCTGGTCTGAGATTGGACTGCATATGTGCATGGTCTAGCGTCGACTATCCACTCAAGCCACACAACTCTCAAACTGGTTTCGCTGCATGGTGCATTGGGCGATTGCTCACATATTGTCGAATGCTCATTCTACAGACAACAAACATCCGCCCTCTGCAGAACCACACACAATATGCCCCCACCCACTCCCAGACACCGATTCTAAACACTAGCAACATCAACCCTAGAAACAGTAAAGATCACAATGAACACCCTACCAGTCGACCTGCAGAATCGAATGATTTCACACTGCTACAACGTGGTCATTTTGCTTACCATGCCATTAATGTATGTCTCCTCGCTTACAGTTGCTACCCCTATATTGTTTTTTATTTTGCAAACCTTGGCCGCTAGACCGTGTTGCCTGCGTGAAGGATGGCAATACCGCGCTTGGTGTGAACATAGGAGTCCTATCTATGACATTTATGGGTAGACGACTACAATTTTAGCCTATCCCATAGGATTATATGTCAGATTATAAATATTTGAGCGTACATTTTGCATCGTCGAGGTCTTTTAAACTACCAGTACCTCTACCAGTGTGCGGCCGTGGGGCTTTCACGTCAATGCACAATGACTTTCGGGGGCTTCGCGGCCGCACAAATTTCTCATCCGCGGCCAACGTTGCGGCGTGGGCCTCCGAAAGTCGCGGGGAGGACCCTGCAGCAGCACAACCGGTAGGTACTGGTGGTTTAATTGATCTTAGCTTTGTAGATAATTCATGGATCCTATGGGACAACGGGGTAGGGTGTACATCGTTAGAAAATATTAGTTGTTTCTATCACCAAGCAGTAGAATCTCATTTGTGTTAGCTGGTCAATCAAGAAAAGTGTGTGCACTCACAAGCTCTACAATCTTCGGAGGGCAATCTGGCCGAAACTTTCCCTCCCCTGTACGTGGCCAAGGAACATCCATTTCTTGTGGATTTTGGATGAATTCTCCCACAGACAGTGAAGGGGCCCCTCTAGAGGATGGTGGTTGAGACCTGCCAGTCTGTCCCCACATAACTACAGTTGGTTACCATGCACACGACATAGTCCTTGCTCCAAACACTATGAAGGGATGGTTGCTGCCAGCCTATGCCACGAAAGTTGTAACCCATTGTCTTATACTTATCCCCCCCACCCTCAAATTACTTCCCCAATATGTAGTTGTGACCTTGACTTGCTATGCTTAAATAATTGCGAAGTTAGTCCGGTTTGCTCCTAACATGTCCCCGACATGGCATGTTTAATCAATGCTTCTGAGAAGCTGTTGTAGAAAGTATGCCCCCGATGCCATCACCTGCCACATCCTCTCCAAGCATGTCCCGTGTGCAGCATTGCGCATATACCTGCTGCAATCACAATTGGATCTCCTTCATCATCGTCGTACAAACAACCGATGCATCAGCCTGTCGAGGAAAATGGACTAGCAAATGAACCACCTATAGAGCGTTGTGCTGATAGGTTATCACCGCCAGGGCGAGTTGTTGCAAACCAAATCCTAAAACAACTAAACACTCCTGCTTTTGGATCAGTCCCCTTCCTCATCCGTCCATAGAGAGGAAATAATGACTGCGAAACTCAAAGAACTTTCTGAACGTAGTTTTGTGATGGCCCACTTGACGATGGAGCTCAACGAAGGGCACAACGCTACCGGGAGCGCTGCGCCCCGGTACTGGTATCGATGAGTGCATCGAGTTAGCTCTTCTCACGATGGTTCGGCGGCGGCGGGAGATACCGGTAAATGTATCAGGTTGGTTCTTCACACGATGGTTCGGCGGCAGGCGCTTAGGGTGTGAGAGGAAGCACGTCGCGTTGGGGATGGCGAGGGATGGGGCATGGGAGGTGTGCATAGGTGGGGCTGGACGTGGTGGTATGACGAAGGGTTGGTGGTAAGGGGGGGGCAGGAGATGCTCGGGTAACATTCGGAAGGGGAGAAGGGGATTGGACATCGCTCACGCAGGATGATGAGAGGAGTTTGTGGCACTGGTTGTAGTTGGAGTGTTTTTTTCGGTAGGGTGGAAGAGGATAAGATAGCAAGAGGGGGCACGGAGATGGAGGGCGTCTTAGTAATCATCAGCAGAGTTAGCTGGCCGACGTCGTGAGTGCATGAAGAGAGGGGGAGGGTGCTAGTTAAAAGACTTATAGAATGATAAAGCACAAAAGAGAAGGAAGGAGGAAGAGGTTAGTCGTTAGTTTCTTCTCCTTACTGTCCCTCTCTTCATCTTCTCCTTTTGGGTTGTCTTTTTCCTTTTTTTCTTCGTTGTTTTGCTTGTGGTAATTGGATGTGCCTTTTGTTTTTCTTCAAATCAGACAGGTCGTTGACAGGTTCGGCGATGTCGTGTCACAACGAGCCCTTCAAGGTTGGGTAGTGGGGCTCGGGCCGATTGCCTTCTGCCCTTTGGGGGTATCGAGTAGGATCTCTCCTTGGCGTGGCGGTTTAGGTTCGTGGAGGGAATCGAAAGGAAAACGGTAATGATGGGAGGTGGGTGAAACAACCGAGAATGGGTGAAGGGTCATGGAGGGATGTGATCCAACCTAGTGCCAACCTTTTCTACCTGTAGTTACTGTAGGAATAATTGCTCATCCTTAATTCGTAACTAAATCTCTATTGGTGTGATGATTTCCTAATTAGATAGTACAAATAACTCTGAGTTTGATTTTCTTATGGTTCTCCCACACACAATGGATTTGTCGAATTAGTCTTTTGTCTGGCATTTCTGTTGATTTAGTGATTCTTGGAATTTTTGCTTAATTTTTTCTCAAATACATCCTAATTGTCTTTGTTGAACGCTTCCTAAATTGAGGATTTGGAAGCTATTTCGAAAATCCTTTTCGGATATCTAGACCTGATTCGTAATTTTTTGCTCAATCATACGTCAAAAATTTCTAGTTTCGTAAGTGATTCCTCTAATTTTGAAAGAATCGATTATCTTTTGAATTTTG